AGAAATGTCAGATGATGTCACAAATTACATTGTTTTACCAACTGCGCAGGCTTGTCGCGTGTCACTATGTACAGAGTTGTTTCCGGTGCTGCGAGGTACCTCTGCTGTGGAGTGGCTTTATGACAGAGTAACGCTTTGTTTTCATCATGCCAACATGAACCACTTATGCTGGCTGATAGAGGCAGTGTGTTCTGGGTGGCGGAAGTAGGGGAGAGTTTGAATCTCGAGCAGAGGGATTGCTTTGTGTCACACGTTTGCTCTGAATTTAGAGTTAACCTCCCCAGTATTGTTTAAGCAAACTCAGTTTGGGATGTTGCTACTGGATAAGGAGTGTGGGCTCAGTTCTGAGCAGCACCATATCTTTATTTGTGATAAGTAGAAATCGAGAGGTATGGCATACAGATGCACAGCTCCGCTGCTTTCATGTTGGCTCTGGCTGCTGGGTGTCATTACCCTTCTGGGTAGACAGACCGGGAACCTGTCTCTGCCAGCTCATCCTTGTGAATGCAGCCCTGCAGCCCAACAACTGTGTTAAAAGTCTCTGAAAACTCCATCACAGTTTACATCATCTATGCGCTTTGGGATCTGTTATTATAATGCAGCAGGGAGCTTGTCTGCAGAGTTAATAACAGAGGCTAAGTCTTCAATTAAATTAGAGAAAACAGTAGTTCAACACACCCCAGATGATTAGCTCTTAAGCAACTCCTTTATCATTTCAAAGCACTACATACACAGTAACCAGTTAATCCTAAAACAACTCAGGCAGAGTAGAGTTTTACACAAGATGAAACAAAAATATAACGGTGTATAGAGACTCATCCTATGCCCTGTTAGGAGTATTAGAGTTGGAACAAGCAGTGGATGACTTCCACATTTATGCATCAGCCAAGACAGTACTGCTTCAGTCATCTTCTGTAAAGAAGAAGGGTCATAAAAGGGTGGGGAGGGGAGAATTCTCAGACCCACAAGTTCATGGATAAAGTTTACAGAGTGCAAATAAAAATCCACAGCCGAACATAACCATTTAGGCACTTGAATGCAAACGATTAAAATTGTGATTTAAGATGAACTGTTTAGAGTCACTAAGGGACCAAAGTTTACCCACATTTCTTACCAAAAGTTTGATTTAATTTCTTTGCTCTGTGATGTCACATAAAAGAATCCAGCTCACCACCTGTGATACAGAGATGCTCTGTGAAGCGTTACACAACAGGTCAGAGTATTTAATGTACTTTGGGATGTAGCTCCACAGTAAACACAAGTTTAGTGTTGACAGTCAGACAAGGAAAATATAAGTGAAATAAAATAGATATTTTGGCACTTTTTGGTCCCTGTGATCAAAAAGGTAACCCTGGGAGGAGTTCTCTCATGACAACAGATGGCAGCAGAGCTGTACTCAAATATTTAATTTGCAGTGGGGAAGATACAAGTACCTTTACTATGGAACCAGAAGAGGGCTGCTGTGGACTTAAATACAGTTCTCAAAACCGCTATGCTACTGGTACCAGCCTTGAAGACACTTTAGCTTCTTCACCAACTCATTTTTCAGTATTAAAGTGTTCTGCTTTTAGAGCACTGCTTCTGCACATGCCCTGCAGACCCAGTCTTCACTGGCTAGGTTGCAAAGCACCTAGCTTGCATATACATCCTATTAAGGACCCACAAACTATGACTTCTTCCACCAGAGCTTTTCTTGAAGAGCCTGATCAGGTAGATGTTTCCAGAGCATTTCTTCTGATGTTTTCATGAATTCAGTTCTGAGGTGTCAGAGAGTCCCTGTATATTGTATCGGGAGACAGGCATCTAAAATCAGGGCTGAGTTTTGTACCAGAAGGCAGATGTCCTGTGGACATCCAGGCATTGTTTTCATCCTCACACGAGAACAAACCAGCCAATGAATACAGAAGGTCAGTAGCTGTGCAGTTCCACTTTTAATTGTAAATCTGCAGTAGTTGTGAGCATGGCTTTGATGCTTCTCTACATAATAATTCTCTGTTTCTATTGTTTTCCAGAAGTACTATAGCTTCATGGCAGCCTGTAGATGCAAAGAGCATGAAATCAAACACATCTGCAGATACCATGGCAGGCAAGCAGGGGAAAGAGAGCTGGAGTCCTCCGAAGAAGAGGTAAGTAGGTGTTTTTGGTTTTGATTAAAGGTTATTCCTTCCCTCGCCATGGGACAGTTGTTGTCCATCTAGTGTCTGTGACACTTGCTTGCAGTAATGTATGTGGTTTGACATCATAGGCACGTGAACACCTGGACTGATCTGAGCCTTCTGTTGCAGGGGGGAGGCAGAGTAACTTCTGGTGGCACCGATCAGTGTCATGTCAGTCCTTTTGTGGAGGGGAAAATTTCATGGACATAAAGCATCCCGTCTCTCAGGGGCTGAATTTGCCTTTTGTGTTGTATCATTAGAAAACTATCTTTCTTTTTTTTTTCCAGAGGACTGAAGCCTCTGTAACACCCAGTCAAGCTCAAACTTGCCAGCAACATGTAAGTTTATAGAATACTTTGGTTTTAAATTGAGGTGTAGCATTTATTTATCATTTTGCATCAAGCTGGTTAAAATTTGTGATCAGGTGTGGAGACTTTGTGATGGCACAGAAGATTAACCAGTAGTGCATTCACAATCCTGTATGTATAGGTGGGCAGAAGAATGGGCATACAGAGACTTGCACAATTAATTATAAACCAGATTGTGGCATTCTGGCACGTAGCCAGTTAAGAGTCTACTTTATATTTTGGACTCGTACAGAATGTCAAACACTGTGATTAGTCTTCAGGCTCTTGTGAATTGCATCAGCAACAATAATCCAGCAGTTCTCCAGTCTCACCTCATTTGTGCTCCTGACACATTCCCTGTGCTGAGGAAAGGCTTGCAGCAAGGCACACGGCAGTTGCTTAGCCAGTTATGCTTGGCCCTCATACAGTCTCTCTGAAGACTCCTGTTCCTCAAGAAGAAAACTTTTTTCATTTTTCAAAGCCTAACACCTCACGCCAAATGAATTTTGGGAACTTCTAAGTCAGAAAAGATGAGAAACATGGAATCTGTACCACAGTACAAATTAGTGGGAGCACCCTTGTTGTATGGATGTTTTCCAGGTTTATGTTGTAAACCATTTAGGTTGAAAACTTTCAGTTTTGTGAGGCAGAGATTATACCACATTGATTATTTCCATTGATTGAAACATTAGATGAAATGATGAGTATGGCACTTGCTAATTTTTGTATTGACAGAAACATTTTACAGTTTTGTCCAGGCTGCCTGTATATTTTGGAAAATCTTAGTACATTTGTATAGCAGCTGAAACGTAATTTTTTTTACCCAAATTCAAAATTTTTATTTTTGTGGGAAATTTAAGATGACTAAACAGTAATGAAACTTTTTTTTTCTCCAAAAAAAGACCAGACAAGCTTCTGAAGACATCTACATTGAAGTTTCTCCTGGCACCTATTCTGTCACAGCAACCTCAGAGGACATGGTGCAACAAACTCACGTGGTGGATGTCAACGCAGGACAAAGTGTTGATTTAACTTTTGTTCTATGATGTTTGTTGTTTCTTGGCAATCACAGGAATAAAATACGAGGCTGGTTTAATGCATGTAATGAACTATGTATATCTTTTTCTTGTTAGCACTTTAATAGTATCCTCCTCTTTGGGACTCCATTTTTGTGGCCTGTATATTTGTTTTATACTTAATGCAATTATATGCAGCCCACTTTGTACACTGCTTTTATAAATATTTGTACATTGTGTGCCTTAAATCCAATTATGTGACTGTGTAATTCCAGGTTCTTATGCTTTAAACAATTAAAGAAACAATCATGGAATAAAATACATAATTTAGTCTTTGTCACGACAGCTTCTTTTATATTATCCTCAGACAGAACATCCGCGTCACATTCTTGACCACAGAGAGCATGATCCATGTGGTACGAATATGGTGTACAGTAGCTTTTGTGGGCTGGCACTGATTTTAGAGCAGCTGGCTCACAATGCATCTCTCTTGTCTGTACTTTTATTATTCTGATAAAGAAATAAAATGCAAATGAAATTCACTATCTAGGACCCCAACTCAGGAAGGTGCTTGAGTATGTGTCAGATGTTCAGTATAGGCACATAAACTATTGACACTTCAAGTCCTGTCTCTCTGCAGGCTCTTACCTACGCTGAACACCAGTTAGCTGCCTTTTTCAGTAGGTGGTAGGGTACCCTGAATTGTCTCCTGAGTACAGTACTGCTGAGCAACTGCACACTGCAGCTTATGGCCAAGTTCATACGCTTTAAACATGATCAGTCCCACTAATGAGACTCTCTGGATGCTTAACTCTCCTGAAGGATCAGATTCTATGGTTGGAATTAGTGACATGACCTATATATACCTGTAATCTTTTTGTAGCTGATGGTATTAAGGTTTCAGTTAATTTTCATGGGTATATAAAATTCACTGACTTGAATGCTGGATTCTCTAAGCATTTTGTTGTTTCTATCTACAGTAGTAGGTCCTTTACCCTCTGGCTACTTTCTCTTCTGCTTTAATCCTGAAAAAAGTATTTTCAGCTGTCAGCTTGTGTTGTTTCTTCATTCCTTCTGGCTTCCTACAAAAAGAAATTGCTATGCTGAATTCCTCTGGCTGTCTCCAGAGAACTGTAGGCAAATCGGAGGTTTATTAGACCCTTGCTGTGCATCTGTTCAGGTTTTTAGTGCTCATACTAGTTTACCTGATCTCTCCAAAATTGTAGAGTCAAGTCCAAGTAATTAGGAATTTAATATAACACCTTGGAGTAAAGAATGAGGATGCTGAAATTCGATGTGGGTGGAAATAGTTTCTCAGTTATTAAAATTATACAGTTACCCATAAAGATATTCTACAGAGACAGTACCTAAATCAGAACTTGATTTGCTTACTAAATGTAACACTGAGATAGCCTAAGCAGTTTACCTGAAATTTCAGCTCCTGAACTTCATCAGTTGTACATTTATTGAATTCTGGTTGATCATGTCTCTCTCTGCTTTGTTGCAAGTGAGATCTTTGCTCTTTTTTCTGTCCGTCCTCTTCTGACATGGTCTGTATCGTCAAGTTTGTTGTCTCCTATGCAAGTTGCTTTATGTTTATCATCTGACTGTTTTCTTTCATCTGTTTTACATCTTTGTTTTTCTGATGCTGCAAAACCTTCTTCCTGGAGGACAGAAAACAAATCCCTTGGAAGTCTAGTCTGAAAAAAGCATCAGTGTCTTTGTAACTGCTGCTTTCCTGGCTGTAAGATAGGTACCTCTGCCTCACACAGCTTTAATAATGGTATCATTTCTGTGCTAGTACAAACTTTACTGCTGAAACACAGAAGTGTACAGTAAGACCAAAGGATTTTTCAGAAGCTGTTAGGCTTTGACCAAAAACTTTGCTCCTTTAGAAGTTAGGAGGATTTTTGGTGACTACAGTGGGAGGACATTAGCCCCACAGAGAGCACCTCTGGGAAGCCTCCTCTCCAGCTTCACTTGTTTGTTGCAAGTTACTTCTGATGCCGTCCGTATTATACGATAAAAACTGCTTCAGCTATCTCAAGGACTAACAATGTATCTTCTGGGTTTAAAAACACCAAGGGCTATTTTACAGGAATAAAAATATATCATTATACTCTGCATTACCACATTGTGTCCACTACTGTAATTCATGCTGCTGGTTTGGGGCTAGAATGAAACCACTCTGGTTTCTTTTTAGTTTTACCAAAAGGCAAAGCATGTCACTTCAGTGCACAGCTGTGTTGTTACACTTGCTAACATAGAGCATGTCTGCCTGGAGCTCCATACTGGCCTAAAAATTCCTAGGAAATCAATTACTAAGGTATGTAATTATGATTATTTAAATAATAAAGTAGCAACCATACAGTTAATAAGTTGGTAGACATCTGCTTAAAATTAATGCATATAATTGTGAGAATACAAGATATTTTCCAGTATATTCTCTGTTCACTAAGACACATCATTAACAGATTAATCTTATCCTAAAGAAAATCATGCAAGTTTAGCCCATTCAAAGTTTTATTCTGCAGTCAGCTCACAGTAGCAAGAGCATGAAGGTACAGAGGAGCTAGTATTTGATTTCTGATGTTTATTAGTTGTACCCCTGATGCTCTTGTGCAGAGCAGTGTTTCTGTTCATCTTGTCATTCTCTTTCATCTTCCCCTTCTTCCTGCAAGCTTTTTTCTTCCTCTTTTCTGTGCTTGCTTTTTTTAGCATTCATGTTCTGATTTTTTTTTTTTCCCCCCAAGTTTTTCTATTCCTATCGGTCCCCCCTGCCACTGGAGAGCAGTGTTTCTGTTCATCTTGTCATTCTCTTTCATCTTCCCCTTCTTCCTGCAAGCTTTTTTCTTCCTCTTTTCTGTGCTTGCTTTTTTTAGCATTCATGTTCTGATTTTTTTTTTTTCCCCCCCCAAGTTTTTAAAGCAGGAGGGGACCATGGCCAACAGAAACCAGGCCTAAAAATGAGGGTGTTGTCCTTGTTCCTAGCTGTGACACAGTTTGCTTACTCTGTACCCCCTAGCTTCAGGGTAGGGATCTGCTGTTTAAACTGCTTGCTTCTTGTGAGGGAGTAAGAGAAGATACTCAGTAAAGACTGTTTACTAAAAAAACTGCTTTTATCTTTCAGAGATAGAGATTGTGACTATCAGAGTTTGACTGGCAGAGCCCAGCACCTTTCCAGATTGAATCTTTTCTTGTGTTTTATTGCTGCTGACGGTCACATCTGTCCATTTCCAGGGCCACTCATGTAGGTCCCTACCTCCATAGGACTTTATTGGGTTGATGTCAATGCGCATTTGGCAGGTTTCTGAATTGAAATCTGCATTATTGAATGCTCACACAGTTACTGGCATAATCTTTTCCATTTTACCAAGTAGCTTCAGCCCTTCCTTAGGGTTTGGGGATTTTTGTTTTGTTTTAATTAGTGGAGAAGTTTCCTGTCTATCACAAAACTGGTGGATGGCCTCAGTGAGCAGTTAAGTTAGAAACAATGTATTTTTCTAGCCAACTTCCAGACCATTAGCAAGAATATTTCTTCCATTCAAACAAACTGTGTGCTTACATAAATACAGTATTAATACAGATTACTTTACTCCCAATGACGGCTTGAAATCTTGGTCTCTTAAGATTTCCTTCGTTGTGAGCTGCCCTCTGGGAGACTGCTCGATGGTTTCAAACATTGCACTCCAATTAGTCGGGGCAACACAGGACACGTCCCCAACGGAGATGGCTTTGGATTCCAGCTTGCCCTTTGTACATGTGCTGCTGCAACTGCCCAGTCCTGGGAAGGAGTAAAATTGTATCTATCTAAGTGAAACCAGAACTGAAATGGAGAAACATTCATTTCAGAAGAGAGGAAAATGCACTTTAAGCTTGAAAGGAATTCTTTCAGGTTATTCTGCATGGACTAGCTACAAAAGTTAACGAAGATGTTAGCGTCATAAAAAGCATAGGAAAATGATGGGGAACAAACTCAGAGAGGGATATCTATGCTTCCAAATGAAATTCATTGTTCTGGTAGTTTTCCATTGGAAGAGTTGCCAAAATAAGAGCTAGCATGCAAGATGAGGCAGCAGAAACATTGGGGAGGGGGAAGTATTGTATCAGAGACTGATACACAAGTGTATAGTATTTATACCAATAAACTACAGGCAAAGTGAGTGCCCAGATGAAGGGGGCCCCAGAACACATTTGGTTTTTTTTCCTCTCTGGCTGCTGCTTCCCCGTGGGGGTGTTAAAAGGGACCTGAATTATTGGGATGGGACTTGTGGTGGCTTCTTTTCCAGTATTTCCACTCAGGTCTTGCAGAATCCTTTAGCCTGGGCTTCTCAAGACAGCCGGAGCCTGTGCTAACAGCACTGTCCACCACAGTACTCTTAGTGGGGAATGGCTCCAGGTCCCACTCTGAATCAGAAGAGGGGGAAGATGCTGCCACACCTGCTGCTGCTTCTTGTTTTGGGCCTTTCAGTTCTAGAAGGCATGGAGAGGGCTCGCTGCTGGAGTCTCCCTCTTCAGTTTCGCTCTGAAAGACCAGAGACTTGGATGGAAGAGGCCACCAGGCATCAACATGGGGATGGCAGCAGCAGATGCACCTTACATATGCTGACAAACAGCATATACCATCACAGTGATAGTGGAAATGTGGCCAGCAGGGTGAGAAGAGCAAGCAGTGCTTGGCAAGGCTATGCACAGCACAAACAGGAATGAGGGCTGTTTTAGGACTGCAGGAAAAAATACAAGAGTTAGTGTCCGGACTTTCTCTGGGCTTCACCCTGCTGGTGAAGGGCATGTGGATCATCTCTACAATCCTCTCCCACAGGCTAGGAGGGACCCACAGAGCCACACCTCGCGCGAGTTTCACTTTCTTGTCATTCCAGAACTGGACCATAATTTCTTCATCTTCTGAGGCTGTTGAGAGAAAAAGTAAGCAGCCATAAGCAGCTGGCCCACCTAGGCAGTGCACAGACACAGATCAGGCTTTGCAGCTTTATGCACTTTCTACTCCTGTCAAGAGGTAGGATTAACTATCATCCCGCTCTGTAACACTTCACCATAATGTCATGGAGGGTGGAGTGGGCAGCTAGGGCACCAACGGTGTGACAACAAGCCTGGCAGCACCGTTCCTTCCAATTTGTCATCAGATGAACAAGAAAATGTTGACTGAGTAACTTTTGTTGTTACTGCCAAAGTTAGCAGTAATGCTCTGAGAATAGTATTTTGATAAGTCAGTGGAGCTTGACTGTCAGACGTGGGGAAAAATGAACGAGCTGTTGAAATCTCCTACGTTTGGGTGATAAAATCACCCCCAGATGTACCATTCAGTACAAACGTGAGCATTCAAGCATGGATGGGTGCTTCCTGAGAGCTGCCTCACTTGTATCCCTCGTGAAAAGGCCACGGTCCTTCACATGGCAGACACAACCTTGTCCGAGCAGACGGGAAAAAACACATCTGCAGACACGGAAGATGACATTTTTACGGATCACAATTTCCTTGGGGTCAGGCTGGTGTGGTTACACACAGATATCCATCAGCAAGTCCCATCAGTTCCTGCAAGCTTTAAGCAACACTAAACTGTAGTCTGTGCACTGGTGTTTCTCTGGCAGTAGCACCGTGACAAGAGTTTATCCTGACAGCCTCACCCATGTTCTGGAGCAAGGCAAGGAAGAAGAGGGCAGCATCTTTCTTACCTCGTAAGGGGTCCCTTGTCTCAATGCCCGTGAGGATGGTTCCTGGGCCGTACCTGGCCATATCTGGCTCCCAGGGTGCCAGCACTTTGTCTCCAGGGAGTAAGGAGTGCTTCATCCCATTCACGTATTCCAGGATGTCATCCTTTGCTGTTTTTTGCACACACACTGGATGCCTTCCACGTGACACAAGTGGTTTGTCAAACTCTACCAGGAACATGCCTCTTTCACTCTGTTATCAGGAACAAAATAATAGTTCCTCTGAAAAACAGTCCATAATGTGTCAGGTCATGTAACCTTCACCAGGAGGCCATTCTGTGGCTGTGTGGCTAGGTCAAAACACCAAGCAAGCCTGAACAGTAACTAAATAATGTGCGGTGTTAGTCCAGCATTGAGACAGCCAGAAAAACCTCCATGAGGCTCACCAGAAAGCAGGCTGAGTGAAGCATATGTACAGATTCACTGCCGCTAGGACCTGTATCTTCTTCCCCAAGAGAAAAAGCTATAGATAGAGTGCAACTGGATTTCACAAACCATGCTGTGTGCACCAGATAACAAGGGACACTGAAGCCATTCAGACGTGTTCTTCAGTCATGCCCAAGTCCTTCCTCATTACATACAACACTAACTCTGCTTTTTGGGGGAGTTGTTGGGAATTTTTATTTTAAGTTAAGGCCTGTCAAGAGGCTTTCCATCAACAATGAAACAAGGTACTTCCCTGTTCTTGAGAAAGAATAGGCTCTTTTTTCTGTTAAGTTTGAAGTGCTAACAAACTAATGAATTAAAGCTTTCACTAACATCTCTGAAAAGACACCGAGCCATTGGTCTGTAGCTGACTCAAGCTGGAAGTGTGTACATAAAACACTAACGCTTTCCTGTGCTATTGATGGTTATGTGTCTACAGGCAACAGTAGCCGGTACACTGCTCACAACAGCACTTGCGCTGTTTGAGCCTGGCTCAATGCCCAGCACCAGCAGGCGGCCTGCTCTTGCAAGGTGCACAACACCACTGCTCTCACCAGGAACTGGGAGTTTGGGAGGCACCCATCTTCTGCACAAGATGACGATCCCCGAAACATGCCTGCTCACTCCTGGAAATGGACTCAGTAGAGGAGGCTGAGCAGAGCACGGATCTGATCATTATTAGTTTATTGGTGCCTGAGGCTGTGCTGCATGCAAGAGGCTTACCCAGGCTGCCAGGCAGCAGGCGGTGAGGACTGCATGAAATCAGGCACGTTGGGAGCTTTATGAATTGACATAACCACGAGCATCAGCTGTCCTGGTGATCTGTTCTCTATTTCATACACCAGCTGAAATCAAAACTGCAACACTAAACTCAGGTGGTGTGTGAGGACTGCTGGTGGACTGGACACCCTATTACACATACCCATGACTATCGCACAGAAACCGTCACTCACCTCTATCTCCTCTTTTACTGTACCACGGTAATAAAATCCATCTTGTCCCCCTCTCACCAGCACAGGGACATTGCTGTCTAAGCCCACTGATCTCCCCGATGTGCTCAGCCTCTTCCATGCTGGGCCAGGGGAGAGGAGGCAGTGGTTAATCCATTGGCACCTTGGGGGGAGGGGAAAAAAAAAAAAAAAAAAAAAAAGGGTCAGCACTGGGAGAAATGGCTTCTGGAAAAAAAACGTCATGGAAAAAAAAAATCGTGTAAGATTTAAGAACTGGATCACACCACCTCATTGTGTAGCACTCCCACAGGCCAAAGCATGTGGGAAGAAACAGAAAACTTGCTTGTGCTGGGACAATTCTTTGCTCTTGGGAAAAAAAAAAAATCAGTGCCTGTTTTTACCCAGATTTCTTTGGGTTTGGGTTTAGAGGAAGTGAGTCAGGAGTACGCTGGAATCCTGGGCCAGCATTACCTGCACTAGCCCCTTTGCTACTTACATGGCAAGCCAATGAAACCCTTAAGATCAGGAGAAAGGATCCCTCTCCAGCACAGAGCACAGCATAGGTGTTTCTCAAGAGCGCCGTAGCTGATGGTTTACACTGGGGCATTCAGGGAACAACAGAAAAGTAGAAAAGTAAACAACGAAGCTGCTGGTTGATGACAGGTTCCAGTTCAAAACAGGAAAAATAATCCCCTGTCACAAAGCATTTGAAACATTTCACAGAAGACAGCTGCTAACGCAAGATGCTTTTATTTATCCAAATAACATTAAAGGAATGTTTCTTTGATAGGACGTTTACTCAGACTTTGCTTTTCATAGTCTCCACGGTAGCAAATCACTTTAGTTAATACCATCTAAAAACCTGTCAGTGCAGGGGAGGGTAAAGCTCAACATCAAATGATGTTCACGCTGCTAATTTATTAATCTGACACACCAGCCTGTTTTATCCTATTAGATATCATGAAAAAGAACAAATCACAGACTCAAACAAGAACTTGATTTTACCTCTGGGGGGTGAGGGGCTCGGCAATCCAGGCGGGATGCACTACAAAAGAACTTCTGCAGCAGGGGTTGACAGTAGGTACAAGGCTGGAGCACGAGAACTTGTCCAGAGCTGGCATCGCACTGCAATACCTGTGACCCGTAGACAGGAATCCTTCCGAACGAGCCATTCTTGCAAAAGTAGCTACCTGCAGGACTCAGTTGTGATCTGTTGGTAGAAGAGAGACGATGTACTGGCATTTTCCAACACAAGCAAATGCTTTCCAGTGTACCTCAAGAACTCAGTAGCTTTTATTAATTTTTTTATTTGTATTTAAAAAGAATGAATTCAAAATATTCAGACTGGCAGTTGGTCGGATGAACCTATGAATCACTGACTTCACTGACTTCACTGACTTCAGCGATCTTCAGTCACCCAAACCCTGACCTGATAGAGGGACAGAAACACACAAGGAAACTAGAAATGCTGTGAAAATCCCCAGGAAAGCAATAGCTTTCACCTCCTTCCAACTTTTGTTTCCCTCTGTAACATCCAGCTCTCTTTTCTTGTACCTACACTCTCCTTTAAACCTTTCTTGTACACAGTCCCAGCCAAACCTTCCCTATTTTACAAGCTGAGGCAGAAACTACAGCTGAAGTTGACAAGCTGAGTAAACATGACAGTTTTTGAATGTGATGTTAGATTACAGTTGCCTGTTACTTGTTTTATTTACAGTCATGTATTAAGAGGAAATATTTTGATCTTTCAGCTGTCCTGTCATGTTTTATAACAGTAGGATTATGGCTTGCCATGAGAAAGAATGAGATGCTCAGATTTGACAAGCAATAACTATTCTGAGGCTGTCACGGTAAGATTGATAGCGTGATGCTATCTCTGATAATCTGACAAGATGTAGTAGACAAACTTCCATTCCTTTTTCTTCTTTTTTTTTTTTTTAAATATTGCTTAGAAATGTTTAGCATGCTTAGGGTAAAGTTTGCATGGAAATTCAACAACATAAAATTTAAGTGCCTAATTTACTTTACAAAATACAGTTTAAGTGCTCATATTATGTTTAAATGTTATTTTGTCTCTTATTTAAGAGATATGATCTTGCAGTCCTTTTTATGAGGACTCCCAGATACACATAATTTCAGAAAACCAGCACAGCAAACCCAGCAAGAAGAGTGGATTAACTGCTGCAAAATGCGTCTTTTAAGTCAGCAAATCAACACAATATATTCACTTGTTTCACAACTACACAAACTCCCCTATTATAAACCAAAACAAGATGGAATCAGTAACACTTTGTGAAGAAATGCAACTATAAATTCTACATTAAAGCACATTTTAAACCCATTCAGTGCTGTTACTGCTGAGAGCCAGGCTATTTCTGTATAAAACAGGGCACTGACAAAGGCAACTGTGCAACACTGAGATTTGTTTTTTCTGGATAACTCCAAGTACTTCGACACAGTAGTTTCAAACTTACCAGCTATTGATAACACAACATCTGGTCAATTTGGATTTAATCCCAATGCAGAAATCTTGCCCTTTTGCCTGTTTGACGCAGGAAGCCACTAGCTGCCAGTGTTTCCTAGTTGCTACGGAGGTTGCCACAGTTGTTACTACCAGGATCGGACATCTGAACCTTACTGGTTAAAAACTAGTGGAATGTGACTACAGAGAGGACCATTTGTCTGCCACTCATCCACGCGATTTTCAAGTCCCCATTGATCTAGATATTGCATTGAAAGACTGCAGGGGCAGAGAAGGAATTATAAGAGGGCGGTGTCCTCTAGGCTTTCTGCCTAGTATTGCAGGGCAAAAAATAACATCATACGAAGCTACAGTTCAGATTTAGAAAAAAAAGCCCACCACCACAGGGTGTGACAAATAAATTGGTTTGAAATGCAGACAGAAAGGTTGAAGCTGAGACAAACTGAGGTCAAATAGCTTTACAAACTTTCCCTTTTCACAATAAAGGGGAAGAATTAATGTATTCTACGCTTTTCCTGCAAAGTACGTATCAAAAACATGCCAGAATACAATGCAGAAACCTACCTGTTAATCCCTGCTGTGATCCCTAATCTTCATTTTCTCCTTAACGAATGTTAACTCTTTTTCTTTTTTTTTTTTTGGGGGGGGGGAGGAGGAGAGGAATACTTAATATCATTTTGTAGGCATTTTTCAATTCACTGCTATGAAAACAAGATAACAGAGGGGATGATTGCAATTAGGGACAAGGATACAGCACTTGGGAAGTCTGCAACCATTTTCTGTACATTCTGCTGTACCCACAGACTACCTGCTCTCATGCTGTCAGCAGAATTGTTGTTTAATATAAATAATGCAATTCCCTTACATACAGTAAATGTTAAGAACACTTTGCCAGTTATGAGCTAAACTCTCTTCACCATCTTCACATAAATCTATTCTATACCACTTAGCTGAAACCATCAATAGTACAGCGGAACAGACTGGGAGGTCGGGGAAAATGACCCCAGACCTCAGTCATTATCAGTGAAAGTCCTGAAAAATTTCTGTTGCAGGATTTTTTTTTCCCCAAGGCTAAGACCTTGCCAACCCTCTTTATACTGTGTATCGTGTGAGCAGTCCTAGTAATTTTTATGGGTGCTGACAGCTGAAGAAGAATCCAATTTTCAATAGAAATTAGGCTAAGTCAACGGTTTTTAATGGGATTAAAACATTCATTAATAAGAAAAGGATGGAACAGCACTTGCAAAGACATTATGCTCTTCCTATGTTCAGTAACCGTGCTTCAGAGAGCTGCTACCCTCCTCTTTTTATTTTACCCCTTTTAAACAAAGTTATCCTTTCTGTTGGCATCTAACAACGTTCCTGGGAACCTTTAAAAGGCCTTTTAAGAGAAACACTGGCAATTAGACCAAAAATCTTTTAAGAAAGTGCATGTGAGAGTAAACCAGTAACATTACAGAAAATGAGAGGAATCTCAGTCCCATCAGTAGAAAGATTTTATTTTGAAGCATGCAGTTTGTGATGATACATACAGTTACTTCACACATTTAGGTATTACATTTTTGGTTTGATGACAATTTTAGAAATGTTTTCTGATTTCCATGAATTAACTAACTTAGGCCATTCAGATGAGATTTCCTCAGTTGTCTTTTTCGTATCTAAGTGTAGTTACTATCTGCAAAATCAAAACTCTTTTCTGTGGGCTTATACTGACACATGCTGTGATCTGCTCTTAAGATGTGCCAGGAACGTGCACGTCATTAACGATGTAGTGGCTACTAGGCTCCTAGACAGGATACCTTTTGCTTGGTTTGGAATGGTTTAGATCGTCTTCAAAAACTGGCTTTGTTTGTTAATTGCTTTAGGTGCTTGGCTTGGCTCTATGACATTTTTTTCTGCCACCACAGAATCACTGTACAGAACAGACTGTAGGTAGCTGATGTATTTTATTGCAGCACGGAGCGTCTCTACTTTGCTGAGCCGTTTCTCCAAGTATTCCTTAGGTAGGTGATGCCTCAGTTTAGCATAGCCTTCATTGACACATTTAACCCTCTGTCTTTCTCTCTCATTCCTCTTTCTGATGAAAGCTGGCCCATAGGAGTACTCACTTCTGCGGTAATTGGAGTGGGGCATTTGGTAGGGAAAGGTGCAGGGCTCACTGTAGAAGTTCTCCGCGATGAGATGCTCAGACATGAAAGGAAGGAATGACAAATCTTCAGAGCAAGTGACCTGGTTTGGTGTTTCTGGGTACACGTGAAAGGCGACCACTGGGTCGGCACTGAAAGGCCTAGCCAGCTGTATGCGCTGAGTCTCAGTACAGATGGACAACTTGTCCATGAGGTTACGGTAGCTTTTGCCATCCATCAGGTTCTGCATTTAACCTGGAAATGCATAATTACATAATAGTTTAAACAACTCATACTGAACAGTAGAAAAAACTCACCTGGACTTACCAACACTTGGCATTACTGGCATTTTCCAGAAGAGACTTTTAATGCATTTGTGACATTTCAGAATGGCGTTGGAAGATCGCTACATAGAGCAGACAATGTCCCATTTGAAAATACAGGAAAGTGCAAGTCACAACACTGATTAAAATAATTCACAATAGATTTTAAGAAAATAAAGCCACTAAAGCTTCCTAAAGGAAACAGCAGTCTCCTTTCACCTCAGCTTTAGAAATTAAGAGAATCTACTCTTATGTACTCCACATAGATCTAGCTTGCTCCAAATCCACCAAAACTTACATCTCTACAGACAATAAACAAAGCAGGCCAACATCTGAGGCATTTTCTCCACCCTCTTCTCCTCCCTGAAAAAAATTAAATCTACAATTCCAGTAACAGACTCCCTATCCATACCAAAAAGCCATCAAAGACAATTTTTTTTCTTTCTCTATTCATTTGATATCTCATTCACTATACTATCTTCATTAGATGGAAAACTTGTGCAGGGAATGGATCTCAATCGTAATTTTACGTCTGTCAGGCATTACATCCATTCTACATAAAAAGTTTTACAAAAAGTTTAGAGGATTAATTTCTTTCTGCTAAACCTGACATCTCCATGGATCCTCATGCTCCTTCTACACTCACCTGCAGATTAAACACAGATATGAAATACTAAATACAATCCTACTGATAGAGGATTATGAAATAATCAATTTATTAAAGGAAAAAATGCATGTCCTAATGATATTTTTCCAATTATAAATTATTTTACTAAGAAGGGACTGCACACAGTTGTTGGGGCATTCCTAGAAACCTGTTACTCAGACTGGCCTACTAAAACCACATACCCTCTCTTCAGAGCAGCATTACAGCAGGTGTAACTACTCAAATCACCCTTATATATTTATTAGAAAGATAATCTTGCAGTGTTTTATAGGAAGCTACGTTATAGTGCCTTCCCAATATCATTATTCAAACAGCTAAATATCAGCATAACTGTAATGATTGTTACCTAACAGCTACTTAAAAATAAATTTTAAATAACTAGTTAATTTTTAAAGAATTACTGTGGATCCATCCTCACGGATTGCAAGCAATACTTGCCTACACAGAATCTATCAAAAAATGCTCTTACTCACTATCCACTTCCACATCTATACATTGCTGTCTAAAACACTTAGGTTATATTACACCCTCTAAAATAGAAAACACACCTGAATGTTAAAATGGGTTACTAGAAACATCTAGATTCCATACTCACAAAAACCTTGCAAAGCTTCAAATGTTCCAACCACGGTTCCATAACATAAATGGGATACCCTTAATCCTTCACAAGGATATGGGGATATTTTAATGTTTTCTAATGATTTCATACCTGCCACATTTAATACAGAGAGAATTTTTACTCAGTATGGACCTATCCTCACAACATATTCTATCAAAATGCCTCTGTATCCAGTGTTGTCTCTTCTTCTAATGCACACAGATCTCTCAACAGAAATCCTGTGGGTTAAGAATTCATTTATAGCATGCTGTTAGACAAGACAGAAAGTCACACGCATCTTAAACAGGTACTTCTGTAGGTAGGCTGAAAGCATGAACACACATCCATTTTACATTAATATACATGCAGAAAGTCAGAGGCTAATATATAAACTCGTTATAAAACAGAAATAGTAGACAGTCGTCTTCCCCTTTTCTACTTACACAGTTTGGGTTATTGTCTAAAAACTTTCTACTGCTAACTTAAAAACATTGTCGGAAGAAAAAAAGGTCCATTACATAGCAAAAAAAACCCCAAAACTTTATAGCAAAACATCACTATAAAGCAAGAAACCAAAACCAACACAACCCTAAGAAGAGATACTTGCAGTATTTGTTGCTTCGTACTAACACTTCTGCTGCATAACAGCATTACATAAAACAGTTATCTGCTGCCTTACTACCTGCACGAAGTGCAAAATGCAACTGTTAGGATCGTTTTCCTTTTAGACTGAGACTCACCAATCTTCAGATGAAAGTAAAATCCAAGGAAACAAGATGTGCTATTTTAAGACTGATGAATAACACCTGAAAACATCTGAATGATATTAAAAAAAGAAGTTAATGTTCCATTTTTCTTACACCTTATTTAGTAAGATATCATATTAAACACGATTCATTAAAAAGCTACGGAAGCACTGTTACTGAATAGCTGGTAGAAGCAATTTACAAAAACATTGATATTCGGTGAAGATCTGTTGCTAGATACAGCAATACGCAAGTCTCTTACCTGAATTATGTAGCTTGTTCCGCTGAGTCAATGACTGCTGCAATTTATAGTCAATTGACAACATGCAAAGTAGCTTACAGTTAGATCTGCTCATTTCTGGTTTGGCTTTTCCACCCACACCACAGCTATGATGGCAACAAAACTTGGCATTAAGGGCTAGAAATTTTAAAACTGTATTGAACACAAGCAGATTACCTGAGAAAGTAGTCAGGAATGTGGTGGTTTTGGGGTTTTTTTTTTTTACTTCCTGTTACAGTTTATTAAAAGCAGTATTTTCATTTATTGGCATTTCGTACTTTAATGTCTAAGTATAATGATCAGCTAGAATTTAGTTAAATATTTACCATCAAGGCATAAACAAACTAATTTTCATAGCTTCATTTTAAACACAGAAAATCAGCATTTATTTAGAAGAAACTTTTGATGGATTTGTCTCTAGATTAGAGGTGAGGACACACATGAGTTAGCTTAATACCCTCAAATTTAGTCTTCATTATACCTGTAATTTTGGGTAATTCCCTTAGTGTTAAGCAGTATAACACCATATAAAAGATGTCTAATAAAGCATTTATGGAGGTAGACAAGACATTGAAAACAGTGAGCAATCAGTAGCAAGACAAACGTTTTAAAGTTTTGCTTAAACTTAGAAACACAGTATGGAGCAATCAGTCTGTATAATCAAATATATATGGGTATATAGATGCTACATATATCAGTACATAGCTGTCCAATTGCACAGGTGCAAGGAAATAGGACACCTAACTTCAGAACTCCCCCATCTTACAGGATTACCTTGACACTTTAGACTATCTCACTATTTGGCCCTTCTATCGATCAAAGTAAAACCACACAAAAAAAATCCAAAACCAAACCAGTTTAGCTTAAAACTTTCAGAAGACACTGTAAGATTAGACACACTTGATCTGCAAGAGAGCTACATACACCCAGTCTTGTCTTCTTGGGACTGTCAGCCACCAAAGAAAGCATTCTGCTTCTGCTGCCCTTGTGTGGGGCCACAACGCTGTATTCTGCATCCTCCTTCCCATGGCAGCTTCAGGCCTCATCAGAAAGGCAGCCAAGAGGTAGAACGTCTACTACAACCGGTAGACGGGCATGTATTCACCAAACAAGTTACATTATTTTTCTTTAGGGGGCCCTAGGTACATCACTGTCATAACCGGTTATCGACTCAGGGTGGGGTGTTGAACACAGTAACTGAGGCCAAGTATGAATTTTTTTTTTGTCCTGTCAATGCACCTTGTGCTTTTTTTTTTTTTTTTTTAATTTAAAGAAAGAATCCTGTGTCTCCACCAGTTAGCCACCCATTATAATTCCTTCCAGATTAACTCAGTTTTTGGAAGACTTCAGGACTGACAAGAGAATGAAGCTCTGTATCTGCAAAAGAGCTGCAGTCAGGGCAAATGTTGTTATAGGGCAACTGTGTTTCCACCCCAGACGTGGCAGAGCTATGTGTACAGGTACAGTTTATTTCCCATGCTACTCTGTCCCCCAGGCTGCGGGCTAAGGAAGCCAAAACTGCACCCGGCAACATACAGTACTGTTCCACGTACCATTTCCTTCCACACTGGAACTGAAAACTGCATAAGACAATAATGTAACTACATATGCATAGCCAAATTCGAGTCAGGGATTAAAACCTTTTTCCAATTAGCAATTTGGTGAGCCTTTCTTTCCTTTATCTAAGCACTGAACAAGTGCATATTTTTACTCTGAAGCATTTTCAGAGAAGTGCTTTTATAGATGGCATTTACATGCAGGGTAACGAGGGAGAAAAATGATGACATACAGATAATGCACATTCATTTTTCAAAAATCAGTTTTATCTTTAATTGTTACATTCCAAAGGGGATATATGAAAGTTAGTCATCTAGCAACTGTATACCTCTTAAGAGAGATGAGTACAGAATCACAGATAAAAAAATACACCTAACTCCCAAGATGACAGGTGCTAGAGAAAGTATGTGCCTTACACCATCAATCCAGACAAATGCAGAAAGATTTTTATAATAAATATTTCATCATATACTAACTCCTGAGACTTTACCCATGAAAAGAAAGGGAAAAAATTTTTTTAAGAGATATCATACACATACAATATATTAAGCTATTAAAGCAAAATAGAACAAAATGCCAACACTGTCTTGATATGCACTGCATTTGAGTTTATCTACATCACAGTACTTTAAGTATGCAGCTCAAAGAGTCAGTGTCCATTTAAGTTTTGCCTTAAATCTGCAAACATCACTTGACGTACAAGCATCTTGAAAGTACGAGTGCAAGAAACCAAATTATTAATACAGCCAATCAGGATTTCATTCTCTCATATGAAAACTACACTGCAAGATTTAGATTTCCAGTGCCCAGCATTAGTCAGCAGAAAATCCAAGTATATTTACAAAAGATCTTTACATAAAGTGATTAGTGAGTTGTAAGTAATTACTGTGCTCCCAGGTACTTTTTAACCACATAAATAGTAGTGAGAAATATATAGTTAAAAACCACCATAAAGTCACAACTGTAAATAAGGTACCACAGTGGCAACCCAAGATATCTTAGGGTTTGTTTTCTTTTCAGTTTTGTTAGTAAAAGCCATTTGAAAATGTAAAGATTTTATCTTTTGGTTAACTAATCTT